ACCAGTGGTTCCCAAACTTATTTGGCCTACCGCCCCCTTTCCAGAAAAAATATTACTCAGCCCCTGGAAATTAATTTTTTTTAAATTTTAATAGCAGTTACTCATCGCCCCCAGATGCACCTGTGACCATCACCGCCCCCCTGGATCGCTGCAGCGCCCACCGGGGGGCGGTAGCGCCCACTTTGGGAATCACTGGTGTAAACAAATGTAGTTGCCTTTATTGGAAGAACCCTGTACACAACGCATGTAACTGCCGGGTTACCCAGCACCCTCACCCCCTCATAACGTGTGAATGAGCGTCTATGATCCCCAAGGCCTCTCCAGCAGCAGCGGGCCAGTGGCACATCTGCTGGCTGAGCACATGGGACTGCTTTCACCCCCGCATCCGACATAAATGACTAGCAGCCCGCACTCTGCTGCACCGAGGGCACTTCTCAGGCCTCGACGGCCCTCACAGCAGCACAAGGCACATCTTTCTGTTGTGATGTGAGTCAGGCCCTGGCTCTGCACTCTGCAGGTCAGAGGCCAGCACCTGGGCTGGTCCAGCAGGAGCTCCATCTGTCCTGAGGTGACCGTGTTCACAGCTGCATCCATCCCACTGACCAGCCTGCCCAAGCCGGGTGCACACCCTTCCTGGCCCCTGGATCAGACTTTAACCAGGTGGTTCTTGCCATGAGCACGTGGCCTGGTCTTGTCTCCTGCTGCAACAGCACTGAGTTCACACCTGATGGGCTCCAGGTCGCCCAGCAGCCCAGCACAGGTGCCAAGTGTCAGGCTGTCAACCATCCAGATGTCCAAGGCCAGGATGGTGGGCGTAGGCAAACCTCTCTCCTCTCTGCCACCTAATGACACAGAAGGGACATGGCAGCCACACCTGCAACACCTCTAGGGGCAGTGAAGGATGTATTTTCTAAAAACAGTAGGGATAGGAATGTGTAATATGGCTTGAAAAAACCAACAAGACATGTTAACACAGACACTGGTTTTGTAAAAAGAATCCTGGATCCTGGAGTTACATCATGAGCTTATGTAATCACAACTGCGGTGTGAAAAAAAGAGGGAGATTGCTCAGTACGCTTCCCTTGCTCACTTCTGTTCTTCCCCTTCACTCCCTGGCCTTGAACAGCAGTCACGAGAGAAAACTTCCATAAGCCAGTCACTGGATCACATCAGTATCCAGGAGCTCCTAGGAAGAGTTGGTCTAGGTTGAAACACTGACAAGGTGGTGTTCAGCACTGTGTGCTTTAAACAAAATAAAGGAAAACCATTCGATTGTTACATAATATCTTAAGAAATGTGCCTCTCTAAGTGGTATTTACTGAAACACTTTGTTTCACTTGGTATTTGTCCCTTTAAAATGAAGGTTCCTGATACCTGTGTGAAGGAAAGCACAGACGCCGCATGTTCGAGTCAGAATGGGGAAATAGGCTTATTGTCAGTCCCTTCACAGAACATGAGATTGATTCAATTTTGATATCCTGAATTAGAGAGGCTGAAATCATTGCTTTGATAACATTGAGAAGGAATTAGCTTTGAGAATATGTGGGGTAGGGGCGGGGGAAACTCTTAGGTAAGATGTGGGTGATCGGAATGTGATCCTAATTGATTTCAGATTCTCAGGTATGGCAGAGGGCTTGCCCCCATCTGGATCTCTGGTGAAAATGTCCCCCAAGAGGAGGATATTCCAGACTGCCCCTGTGGAGCCAAGAGAATATTTGAATTCCAGGTATGACCTTAAATACAAATTATTTTACTAGGTAATTACCCTGCTTTATGTTTTTAAAACAAACATTACAAAACTACCAAAGTAACGTATGCACAGGGTCTGAATGGTATTACAGAAATTGCCCTACCATGAAAATCATGTTTCCTGCCCCACCTCAGAGCTTAAAACTGTGTCTTACTGCTTTATCTGGTAGTTTTTCCATCTCTAAGTAACATGACTTTCCTGTCATTTATAATTTTACTAATTTCCAGATATTGGTGTGCTTCTACAATGATGAGGGTTTACATGTGTTCGCTTTTACCATCTGGACCAGCCCCCACCTCCCAGTATAAATACAGCATTATTTTCAGAGCCTCTGTTGTTCTCTTTGTAATTTTAAGTAATACATCTTCTTCCACTGATCAGGGTATGACTACGTTGTGAGAGGAGTGTTTCAGAACTTGCTCTACTTAATGTGGATTTGTGGATTTGTTAGGAAAACAAATGCATGTATCATTACGATACATTAAGTGCCATTAAGGTAAATGTTTTTTCAAAAGAGATTGTTAGCATCAGAATCATTTTGGGGTTGGGTGGAAATCAATCCTCTAACAGTGGATTCAGTAACCTTACAGAGTGGTAGGTAATACTTGTTCCTTAGGGTAGAAAGGGAATTATGAGGACTGCATCCAACACTGGTTGGTTCTTAGTCACAAAGCTCTTGATGCCGAGATGAGCTGCCAGTGTGTGTGAAGAAGTTTCCTACTGGTGGGGCAGACATTCACTCTTCCATCCAACTGCTGGCCTCCTGAGCAGACATCAACGGATTTCCTTTTTGTATTCATTAAACTAGTGTTCCTTCAGTCATTGCACCAGAACCTGCTGTTGAAATGACAGAAAGAAAAAGTTTCCCAGATAGAAGCCTGTCCTATTTTATGGCACATAATTAATAAAATTAATTAGATAACCAGCCAAGCCAGATGGATCGGCCAGTCTTATATTTGGGAACTTCTTTCTCAAATGGAAGTGAAAGATGCCAAATGAAACAGGTTCTGAGGACAGAGCTGCAAAATATTTTTACATTGTTCAGTACGTTCATTGCATAATGTCTGTAATTCTGTGTAGCGTGGAAACTTGACAGCTCAGGATCAGCCTGGCATGTGAGGTCTGCTGAAGGCAGACTGCGCTCCTCGCCTGAGCAGGTCTCTGACTGTGTTGTCTTCTCAGGTCATGCCTCAGCTGCTCAACTACCTAAAGGCCGACAGGCTGGGCAAGAGTGTTGATTGGGGTGTCCTGGCCGTCTACACCTGTGCTGAGAGCTGCAGCCTGGGCACCGGCTACACAGAGGAATTTGTTTGGAAGCAAGATGTAACAGATACACCTTAAAGAGAACCTCAAATAGCCTTAAAAGTGCTCATAACCTCTTAGACCTTGCAATTCCATTTTTAGGATGTTATCCTAAGGGAATAATTGTACCAGAGAGGCACAAAGATGTTTTAGGCCTTATTTACAATCTATAATAACAAAAGTGTAATATGCCAATTAGACCAACCAGACAGCTGAACTACCTTCCAGATGTCCTTCTGGACAAAGCCATGGGGGCTGAGGCAGTTAGGGGCGATCAGGCAGGCAGGCTAACATTTAGGAGCCAGCGGTCCTGGATTGCGAGAGGGATGTCCAACTGCTGGTTTAGGCCCGATCCTGCAGGGTTGGGCCTAAACTGGCAGTTGGACATCCCCCGAGGGGTCCCAGATTGCAAGAGGGTGCAGGCCGGGCTGAGAGACCACCCCCTCCCCGCCCCCCGCACAAATTTCATGCACTGGGCCTCTAGTGTCTAAATATTAGTGAAACAAAATGCCCAGTAACAGGGAATTACATGCATTTTGATGTATCTGTGCAGTTTTTGATGCAGACCTGTATGCACATCCAGTACAGTACAGATCTGAACACACACCAAGATACCATTACAGGTGGTATTCCTAGTATGATCACATATTTTTTAAATATTTGTACATCAGGGTCTTTATTTTTCTAAGTGTTTAGTTTCATGTGTTTCACATGTGTGTGGACCTGTGATGGAATAAAACTTAAAAAGAAAATGGCTCTTTTGTGAAGAGTGAAAAGAGCCGATCTACAGGAGGATCTGCAAAGTGGGCTGTGTCCTGAGCTGGCCCAACTCTTCCTTGTCACAACCTGCCATCCCCCGTGCCTGCCCCCCCACCCCCGCCCTTTCTCATGTACAAATACATCACGCAACTCAGTAGCCTCTATAAATGTAAAAACATTTTATGGCTCCTGCAGAGGACGTCCATCTCTGCTGCCAAGCCAGACTCTGCCCCACCAGACAGCCCATGCGGGGGAGCAGCCCACTGGCTGCTGGCACTGGCACTGGCTCTGGCCTGACCAGTTCAGCAGGCACAGCAAGGAATACGCTGGAACGCTTCCAATAATCGTTTGTGGTAGGAAGACTTGTGTGTATAATAATGTGAAATGACTGACTATGGGATATTTTAACTCATCCCATGTGTTTTTAAATACTAAGAATTTTCAGTGTAGAGGATAATAAACCAATGAATATGAGAAGGGAAATGATTAGAATGTCATCATCTGCAGCCCCCTAACAAATAATGAGAAGAGAGACAACCAAATACTTGATTCCTAACAAGCACACACACTCAGCCTTAATGAAAGGGCCAAGCATCTGGATGCAGCCCCACCTGCAGAAGCTGAGACGGGACACAGAACCACACCACGAATTAGCAAACGGCCCAACACATGGAGGATCCACCAGCCAAATGGCCTGAAATGTTAAGGAAAAGAGGTGGAGAGAAGACTTAAGGAATAAAATAGATGTGCTGGGACAGGGTTAGGGTGAGTCACAGGCAACAACGTCTCTGGGAAAACGAAGAACTCAGTGCATGACCATGACAGACGTGTTTGATGGGTAACAAGCCTCCGGGCAGTTCTTCCATTCCCATTGCAACAGACAATGAAATGTTGACTGAAACAACAACACACACAATGAAGCGGTTTCAGGCATTATATCTAAAATACAACCTTTTTAACAGGATCACATAAATCTTACAAGGCATCATTTATTAACATCAACCTAACACTTTTATAAACAGCATTTATTGTACAGAGTACTGAGGAGAGAAATATGTACAGCCATCTGTGTTCATTAATACATCTGTCCTGCAATACTGAGAGGGCGGAATGTGTCTGGCACAAAAATAAACCCTAGGATTACAAATTAGAAAAACAACACTTATAAAAAACATTTTTACTCTTCTGGTAGAAATATAAAAACTGTGGTTTATGGGGAATAAAGCAAACAAAATTAAAAGTCCAGTCAATTGTAGAGGTGGCTTTAACACCAAAGTTTTGTTTCTTAAACCAATTTGTCAACAGCAGTAAGAGTTTAAAATCTAAATCTAAATAGACAGGCAGCACTACAGTAACACCTGGTGCGTGCCCAGGCGTACATGCAGCCTGCAACCCACGCGGACCCAGGCCACCCACACCACCACCACTTAAATGTACCAAAACGGATGTGTTTTTACAAGTGGGTGGGAGGGCAGGCCAGCCATTACGTTGTCTTCCTGAAGCCCTTGAGGATGGGGTAGATGTTTTCAAAGGCTTCATAAATTTCTGCTCTGACTTTAGCACCTATGAAGACAAGTGGGGTAGTGATGAGTCTAAAATGGCATTTCTTAACCTATTGAGAGGCAAAATTACGATTTTAAAACCATTAGCACAAATCTCTCCATGAGGTAGACGAGCAGACGCAGGCATTAAAATATTAATGAAAAAACCCCTTGTCACAATTTTGTTTTTAAAGCAGTTTTCTTAAAAGGGCTTTTTAAATTACAAAAGCGATGCCCTATGTGACTCAGCCTCCCTCTGCAGGCATCACGGTGCTGGTCCCTGCACCAGATCAGGGCCACAGGCGCAGTAACAATGGCTGAACAGTATTCCCCAACTGCTGCCTCCCACCAAGCTCCTCCGAATCTCCCTTTGTTATCTCAAAACCACATTGCTGATGAACGCAAAGGCTTTAGGACCATTTCCCACGAGAACTCCATCTCTTATCCAATGTGATGCCCATCTTCTCCCCTCCCCACAGGTCAAGCCTGGGCTGGAGGACCAGCAGGAATGGGGTCTGATTTTCCCTCCTCTCGGGTATGTTTCTTTGCCAGCATGTTCGGGTGGGAGGAAAGAAAAGGCCTCTGCAAGTAGCTACCAGCGAAATTACTTCTCACATGGAGAAAATGACGTTCTTTAAACTTTCAAATCTTCAGACACCACTTCTTGTTACAACTTACCTGTTAATACAACTTTTCCAGAAACAAAAATAAGAAGAACAATTCTGGGTTTGATCATTCTGTAGATTAAACCAGGAAATAACTCTGGCTCATAACTATAAGGAAAACATAAAGAACAATTTATAAATTAAAAGTTGCCCATGCTTTTAGATAAAATGAAAACCTTTATAAGCAAAAACACGAAAAAACAGCTGTAAGGAGGTCAAGCCCAGCTCCTCAAGGAGCATCAAAGGAGAGGGGGCGGAAGGCCAGGGAGGGCAACCGGTCATTTGCACTTGAAGACTAAATCACTCTCTACTGAGTGGATTTTCTGGCATAACAAGAGCTTTACATGAATGTCCTAAAGTCTCTCTGACCCTTACCCAGTGTTACTCTGGACAAGTTTAGGGGTAACATTGCTTCTCAGATCTGACAGCAACGTTTTGCCTTTTAATCATTCTCATCTCATCTCCTTACATTATAATATTCTCTAGCTGTTCACCCTGGTCAGGCAATTTAACCAAAGTGCTGGAGCAGATACTGGGTAGAGAATGAACCTTTCCCTGACCCCACTGTTTGGCTGCTCTACTCACGTGCCTTATTCTAAACCTAGAAATCTCATGGCATTAATTCAGAGACTGAAAACAGGATGTGTGTGTTACCGAGCAGAAAATTCAGGAAGGTTTCTCTGAGGAAGAGGTGCTCGGGTAAGAAATGTGAGTGGGAGTGCTCAAAGCAAAAGTGAGACTATGCCAAGTATGAAAGTGGGATGTGCAAAGGCCCTGGTACCCCAAAGGGCACAGTAAGCCTGAGGGGTGCTGCAAGCAGGGAGGCTGGGGAGGGACCATCTACCTGGTAGTTCTCAGCAGGGAGAAGCAGAAAGAATATTCATGTCCCTCAACCATGCCCTTCGCTGGTGGATCTGATAATGGTGAGTAGACCGAAGGGGGAAGGTTGACGCACAAGGTGGTGGGTTTAACCAGTTAACTGCCACGCGTCCAAAACAGAAACCATCTATACGTCTATAGACACTTATGGCGTACAAAGGGCTAATTCACACATTTGAAATGTAGTCACTGAGCAATATGATGATGGAACATACAGAAGGGGAATCAATTTCACCCGGTATAACAATAAAAAATGTATAAATTGAAGAAAAAAAATGTCACCCAGTAAAGGGGGTTTTCACGTTACCACATGCAGTGGGAAGGCCAGCGAGACCCAGAGATGTCACTCCAGCCATCGGGAGAAACCTCCACAGTAAACACAGTGGGAGCTACAGACAATTTATCATGAACTTGTAAACAGACTGCTGCCAAAAGCAATCCCAACACCCTTCAGACTTACCTACTGAACTGTTGGTGGGTCAGCACCAGGCCTTCTAACCTTATGGGGAATTTCACATCGCAGCTCCCCACCATGTTCTGAATCTTAAAGTCCAAAAACTTGGCTGGGAAACCCAACTTCTGCACAACTCTGGCGTACTTTCTTGCTGCTAGTCGGGACTGCTCTTCACTAGGGAAAGGAAAAAGTGAGCTATTCATACTCAGAGCCAGCTAAAATAGTTATTTAAATGAGTCACTTTACAAAGTGTGAACTGGTCACCCCTTCCCAATAAGAAAAGAGATCTGCAGACACAAACAAATTTAGGGAACTAGGCCTACCAAAATGATCACCTTTCCAATGCACCCCATTACTACCAGCCCCCAGGGTTTACAGATGTGCGCATACAATCACCACCATGACCACTGCTTTTGTGTTTTAGCTCACAAATTCCTACTGAGAGAAAATGAACAAGCTTCATTTTGATAGGAAAATACTGGTGAGGTTTGTACTTAAAGAATGCACACACTAGTTCTCCCCTATTTTATGTCCATTTCTATAACTCACCTGTTGAATAAAACTGACTCCGAACGCAGAGCTTATGTAGAACACGGAGAATGAGAGCAATGATACCATCCTCAACAAGACTCTCAGGTACAGGGTCAGGAATGACAAAAATTAACCGTACACGCAGTGCCTTTTTTTTCTTTAATAATAATAAATGTATTTATGACTTCTTATCTTGACAAAAGTCACCCACACAGATACCCACTGTTCCTTGTGAGGTACAAGATGGCGTG